CAAACGGCGTCCAAATGGCTGTCCGGGGGGCTAAAACAAACAAAAGACCGGGTAGCTAGCTAGGGCAGAGTCTTAAACACAAGCACAAACAAAAAAAACCCCGGTCGAAATCCACAAAAAATAAGCGAAAAAAAGTTGTTGTGATTTGGTGCTATATATATATAAAAATTGAATTGTGTTTTGGTTGTTTTGTTCATAGGTTTAGATTGGCTAACGTAAACTTGTTCTTTACAACTCAGTGCTGATGTAGCAAGTATAGGGTTTGAAAGCTAACACACTTTTTACTGCGTGGATACCTGGCAGGGTTATTACAGCATCTAATTCACCCTTACTTTACTAACGTTGTCATTCTCACATTGAGTGATGCCAATCTAAAACTTTATATTGGTCGTGACAGTGTAACTGTTAACTTGTTACCGATTGAGATGTTTTCAAAGTCTGATTTCTCCCATTGAGAACTTTAAATTATGTTATCAGTTGTGTGCACTCTTCTCTTTTTCAGGATTGACATGTCTTTCTTTTTAGAGAAGCTTTGTGATTCAATGTAAAATATGATGGGACAGTTCACCATGCTAGATCTATATTTGGTTTCCTCAATCAAAAACAGATGTTTAAAACTTTTAGGTTCGGTTTTATTTCTTCCGCATTTCAGAAAGAATCAGCTAGGGCCAAAAATGTTATCATTTAAAAAAAGTCAAATGAATTCAATAATTCATCAATAATTATCATGAAAAATGTCAATTTCTTAAAGTTTAAAAGCTGACCTTTGCTTCTGATTGAACGTTGAAAAAAACATATAGTTTATTGTGGTTTTAAACTTTTCTTTATGGTCAGTAGATTCATGACAAGAACCTGCCAAACAGTGGTCACTTAACAGATCTCAGGTAGAATGTCCAAAACAATGATGATAAAATCTTTTTTCAAAAAAGGTAACCGAAGGTAGGCATTAAAATAATTCAGGAAAAATGTCTGCACACCATTGGACTGATTGAATAATAACTCTTTGTGAAAGCAATGGTTTGATCTGATCTCATAGATCTGCCTTCAATACAGTTTTATTAGGAGTTGTTGAGACGGTGTGCAGAGCTTTGTCCTTTGTGTCCTGCAGTGAAACTTTTTGTCTTTCACTTGAGTACTTTTGACTGGATGTGCACACACTTAGCCCCTCTGGAGGTTTTATACCAATGACGACCATACAAACAATTTAAAACATTTTGTATAGAACCTTTACACACACAAAAAATGTAGCTCAAATCAAATCACAGATCACAATAATGTGAGAAGTAGTAAAACCTTTCAACATAGACACACTGATGCACACGTAGAAGTGCGTTTAAGATGTCAGAACTGAAGAAGTCCTTTGGATAAGGGACGAAACGTCTAGCTTCAACCAAGTCCAGTTGCCCTTCATTTTAACCTTCGTTGGATGTTTAAGATGTATTTAATACAGTGAAGGCTTCATGTTTGCTAGTTGGCTTGCTACTGTTTATGGTCAACAGCACACACTCTTTTTCATGCACATGCACAGACAGACACAACACCACACTAAGACACACTGTGAGGACAACATTCACAGAATTTCTGTTTTTGTTTTCTTTTAATCACAAGGAGAAGGAATTGAGGAGGACTCTTCAACTGATGAGGTTCGTCCAGGAAGGTCATGGAAGACAGGAAATCCGGAGACCTGGAATGTTAACATCCAGAAAAGTAGGAGATTGAGGGTTCTCTAATTTTTTTTTTTTGATGGTGTGGAAAAATGGAGCGCTCACAGAGGAAGGAGGAAACCCACACAGACACAGGGAGAACATGCATTCTTCACACAGAAAGGTCTGGGATGACGGGTTCGAAAATGAGACCTTCTTGCTGTGAGGCCACAGTGCTTTCCGCAGGCCTTCCATAAGATCTTCCTTCTGGACCTTTTGAAAGTTCAATCACATTTCTGTAGGTCCTCTTCATCGAAAGGTGTACCTGGAGCTTCTATTCAAGTCCATGAGTCACCTGCACACCGAGTGTAAGCCCTCTTGCAAACAGCCTCTGTCAAGTTTTCTCAAACATTTTCAGTGACTTAAATATATCTCCTTTTCACTTAAAGAAAGACCAGCACGATGCCTACTGTTCATTCAAGCCTGGAAACATCGAAGCAGCTTCATGAGACACAAAGGCTGTGAAGCAGAAGGACAAAGAAGATGCAGGTGAGAAGACCTTGGTGGGGCTCACTCCAATTCCAGGCCATACCGTGTGAGGTACGTATCTTCAAGGACTTTAGCCAGATGGGGAACTGGGGAAAAAGCTGGGGATCCAATGTTGCATGACCTCCAAACAATCAGGTATTTTATCAGACATACACATTCTTGCACTAATATTGCCTTCTATGTCAATAGAAAGCAGCTGTGAAAAGTATCTAAGAACATGCGCCCAATTACTCTTCTTTTTGAGGTACTACTCCACTACATTTATTTTGACTAGTTACTCTGCAGATTATAAATTTAAAAAATAATCAAAAACTAGAGTATGATGTATTTTCATAGATACAGTCACACAGTAAAATATGAAGTATTTAGAATTAGCTTTACTTTTTATCTTAAAATTTGAATGTACAGAATATCTCTACAGTGTGGTGTTCTTAAAGGTCTGACTACTTTTTCCACCACTGTGGAAGACTTTTTAATCTATTAAAATTCTGTCCCTCTTTTCCCTTTTAAATTCTTCCATCCAACTATCCACTAGATACAATGTGTAAATGCAAATGTAAATGCTCCGTATTTGTATAGCGCCTTTCTAGTCTTTTCGACCACTCAAAGCGCTTTTACACTACATCTGCATTCACCAGTCACACACATTCATACACTGATCCTAAGTGCTCAAACGGAAATTAACATTCACACTCATTCATACACTGGCGGAATAGCCGCCAGGGGCAATTCGGGGTTCAGTATCTTGCCCAAGGACACTTCGACACGCAACCAGGGGGAGCCAGGGTTTGAACCTTCCGATTAACGGCCAACCCGCTCTACCTCCTGAGCCACAGCCGCCCCCAATGTGGATGGCACCACTCAGATGACTGGGAAGCCTATCTGTCCCCATCTCTTAAAAGAAGAGTATCACCACAGCAGCCCCACTGTGCACATCCAGCCAGCCAGTTAAAGAGCTGAAGTTGAAACAGCCCCAAGAACTGAAGGTTTTGCCCAAGGACTTCCACTCATCCTACGATGGACTGGACCACGAGGGATGCCCATCACCGCCTGGAGCCTCACGCAGACGCACACACACACACACACACACACACACACACTGATGTACATAGGCTAGATTGGTTACAGTTGTTCCTTAAAATGAGCGTAATTATATTTTTACATTACTTTTTTAATACCTTTACTGATTTTAATGGTGTTAATATAATTCCTAATTGTTCAAAGTATAAGTCAAATATCTAATAGTAGTATTAGAAGACTCCAATCAATTGTCTCTCACAAATAGTCTGACAGACTCTTTATCCTGGTTGTTCATAATTATGTTTTAATAAAAGTTATTATAGTTTGGGATGAACTTTGTGATGAAATTTTTTTGAATGTTGTGTGGTTTACACAGTAAAATGAATTTCAACCTTTATTGATTAAACCGATTTCATTTTGTCATTATCAGCCAACATCATTCACAATGTAAAGATGATGATTAACATGATTTCAAAACATGTATCTTATTATTTAGCTTATGTATCATCAGAAGGTATGCTTTCAACAAAGAGTTCAGGTAACCTTTCTCAAATATGTCCATTTTGGAGGAAAGCAATGCAGTGTTTTTTTAAACAAAGTATCTTAGTAGCCTGCAGATGCCTTTTTGCTGAAAGTTAAGTTTTTGTAGCAACTTGTATAGTGTAGTGTTTTTGGGGAACATATAAATTATGATAAGAGTCCAGAAGGATAGTTTTGGATAAAAAAAAAAAACAAGTTTCCAGACAGGGAATAAATGACAAGCTGTGCTTTCCCTGAAACGTCAGGTTGCCTTTGGACTGGATCATGTTGAATTTAGTATGACATGGTAAAACAAAGCTTTGTAGAAACAAGGGTAGGCTTGCTATCAGTACTTCACGGACTGAAGGGATAATAAAGAGAACTGAGGCTTAAACTGTTCACTAATGACCATGTAAAGATAGTTGTTCCACTTATGGTGATTATTTACATTCTTTATATTTGTATGTACTATTTTAGGAGATACTTTCATCTGACAGTGACAATAAAATGCAAATTAATCATTTATGTCAAATTTGATCTAAAATCATCAATCAATAGATGTTACAAACTGTAACTATAGCTCAAATTTTGGTAGGTGTAGCCAATTTACTTGATCAGTCTGGGACTTTTGTGTTGAGTTTTTCATGCTTATCTGTGGTAACTTTAAAATTTAATCTAATCGATCCATGGAGAGAAAATTTTCCTTTATCTAAATCTTACACTTGAAGCTCCAAAGAACTTCTAAACTCTATTAAAACTTGCAAAACAATTTCTGAAGACTATAGAGCACTTTGTGGCTGCAAAAGTACTCACGATGAAGTTCTGAATGCTGTTCTGAAACTCATATATAACCAGGCAATGACGGACTCATTAATTTTGTAACCACAAACCTTTATTTAAAGCATTTATGAGTGAATTGCAACAATACATACAAACTATTCAGCACTCTTCAAACCCCAAAGCCTTAAAGACTCTCGAAACTTCGTAATTGCTTGAACTGCTGATTATTTTCTTTATTTGTCTTTAATTTTATTTATATATTAACCCCTGCTCTATGTTTGCACTTTGTACTTGCCTTGAATTGCAATAAAGAACTTCTAAAAAAAACCAACAAAACAAATCCAGCCAAGGCAGGCAAGGGGGGCGGGGGATTCACCGGTAAATAAACGACATTTACCAATAGCTAGCAAGACAGTGGCGCTAACATCCAATCAAGGACTCGTCGAAGTGACAAGCTAGCCAATCACAGCACAGTACTGGGATAAAAATAACGCAGCTAATCGGTTCTACCAAAGATGTTTGACACACGAAGGCGGCCACGTAACGACGAGTAAATTCAGAGCCGATGACGTTTGCTACTCAGCACGGCACATACGTTTTAATGTCCTAAACTTACAGTGGTTATTTTTTGGCCGAAATGGATGGTGTGGAAATTACAGACGTCAGTGACGGTGACCAGCGGGATCAGGTGAAGAAGGCGCCCCTCCAAAACCAGGATCTGAGTTCTGTCAGCGTGAATGGTAAGCTACCTCGACATGATGACGTCTCACAAATGAAACAAGCCTGTCCATAACCAGAAACGATAGCATGCTAGCAGTTAGCAAAGTTAATCGGAATCAGCTTTATTGCCAGGTATGTGAACACATACGAGGAATTTGACTCTGGATTGTACTTTGATCACGATGTGCTTACTCATACAATAATACAAAATCACAATAATAAGAATAAAATAAAATCAGACACAGACTTCAGTGTAGACAACACAAATATACAAACTATGAACAAAAACAATGTAAACATATTGACAAATAGCAGGGGCGTAGGAGCGACTTTGTAGGGGGGTTCTTTTTTTTTTTCTTTTCTAAATAAAGCACTTAAATAGTTGATAGATAAATAGTATGCAAATAGTTGTGTTATCTTTCTCTATTTTTTTTTACTATTATTATATGACTTGCATTGTCGCATTGTTGCATTGCAAGTAGAGTACATCACTAAATGAGCCAATGAAATACATTTTCAAAACTAGAAGCACCCCTCTAAATCGTTCCTGATTAACCCGTACTACGAAAGGTGTTCCGTCAGTGTGTGTGTGTGTGTATGAATGTGTGTCTGATTGTTAGTTTCTGTTTGAGCACTTAGGCTAATGTGTATGACTGGTGAATGCAGATGTAGTGTAAAAGCGCTGTGAGTGGTCGAAAAGACTAGAAAGGCGCTATACAAATACGGAGCATTTACATTTGCATTCACAGTGAAGTGATGTGAGATTCTTTCCCCCTCTCCGCTGGCTCCTTTTTCTATTGCAGTTGTACCTTTACATCTTAAAATACATAGTGAACTACAATAAGAACACTGTGAAGATAATTAGGCTACAAATTTACTCCATGCGATGCCAACAAGCCTCCCTATGCTTTGTCGGCCGCCACAGTATTACATTTGGCTGTTAATGTGTCTTTAAACTGCTACAACTATCCTGACACTAACAACGTGCATTCTTCTGGGGGAAATACGGAGCATACTGTGCCTAACCCTAACCCTATGCGAACACACACCAACTCCAATTAAGTTAGCACCGACTCAACTAAACAACATCTTATCCAGTGGAGGCGGTCAGACTTTACCAACCCTGAGTTTACCTGATAACCCCGAGTTAACTCTAAGTAGGTTGAACTCCCTTCATAGTACAGGCCTCTGGACTGTGTGTGACAGCTTTTGGATGTGTAGAAGAACACAAAACATGAAGTAAAATTAGAGCCTGACTGATCCTGTTGGCGTGTCTAGAGATTTTAGAATGAAGTTACGCTGCTATGCCTCGCCCGTAAACGCGCACAGCGTCTCCTTCAGAGGATCCTACTATCGGAATAATGCGCCCCTAAAATAACAAACTATTTGCCTGACCACACATCATTTTAAGACCAACACTCCTTTGCTATTTAAACAACACTGTAAATGATTGCTGTCAGTTTACAGCCCTGAATGCAGAATAACAGGGAGATGCTTCACCCACCCGGAAATTCATAACACGTTTATGTCATTCCCTTTTCCAAGGTAAATGGTACCGCCCAAAACTATGCCTGCAAAGAGTGGGGCTCTCAGTTCCTGTCATAGACTGTTTAAACACCGCATAAGGTTTTCATGTGTGTGTCTCCCCTGGACAGTAATCGGGAAACAGTTTATTGACTTGAAATGAGCGTTGAGACAATGTAATCAGCTGTGTCAGAATGGTCCTAAAGACCTCAGTTATGTTGACCTGGTATCAGTGGTTTTTAGTGAATGTTTTTATTGATGGGCTATAGCCTACATATAATTATAGAGGTCCGGACCTCAGTGACCTCATAGCTGCTTACGGCCATGTCTGGGGGTCTTCACCCAGAAAATTGGAGCATTAAACACTTATATTCCTGCATTCTGGAGACATTTTCTGTTCCACTTTATGGTGGAAATGTCTTTATTTACATAAAGAGAAACAAAAAATTCATGTGGTTACATAGCCAGTTACTTTTTTTGGACAATGCACATTTGTTTGTTCTATATTTAAATTGCATTGCATGTTTTCTTATTTTGCAAATAAACCTTTCTCAAAGCATTTTCATTTGTTAGTTATTATTTCTTGGTGCAAGCTATTTTTCAGGACATTTTTAGCAAATGCTTTCAAAAAGTAATGGGCACAAAATCCGCCATTTTGTGAAGTGATCCACTGTTTGGCATCAAGAGTTTGTTCTGACCATAAAGAAAAGTTTAAAACCATCTTAATTAACCATCTGGTTTCTTCAAATTTCAGTCAGGAGCAAAAATCAGCCTTTAAACTTGAAAGAAATAACAATTTGACATTTATCGTGGTAAAAGAGAGCCTAAGTCACTCGCTTCCACTTCCGACCCATGGGACCTTATTTCGGGGAAAAATGTACGGTAGTCAATGACGAGAGACGACTTATTTTTTGATCCTTTTTGAACTGCCCCCTGAATTACACAAATGATGTTTGTCTATTTAAAAGATAAATTTGGCCATCAAGAAAGTTACAGTTCGTCCTAAATCAGTAAAGTTACATTACATTTTGTGTGAAAACCGTTCAATGAACTACATCTCTCGTCTCTCACAATTTACGTAACCAACATGTTAATGCGGTATTGCTAGCTAACATTCATTGCCTGGTTGCTGCTAGCTAGATAACTTGCTATGTTCCACACAGAAATATCTCACCTGATGTGTTTAATCCAACGACTCTAGGATGAGGTGTCCTTTTATCACATCATCCTCTCATGTAAGTTCTTTAACGTTAGCTTCAGTCATTGAGAGAAAAAGTTAAGAGTTTTGGGTTTGTGGTCTTTGTAATAATTTATTTTCACACTGTTATACTTCAGCAGTTTTAAATCAAAATGCGATTTTCCTGACTTTTAAATGTATATTTTAAATTGACCATCATCATGATTAATTCAGAGAACAGTTCCAACGGAATCAAAAAATTAGTCGTCATTGACTACCAACAAATTTTTTCCGAAGTAAGGTGCCATAGTGGTCCACCGCAAGGGGAGGAACTTGGGCTCTGTATTATCGATATTAAATGATATGAAATTCTTTATCGTGATAAGCCCTAGTTTATATGGACAGTCTCTGAAACGAAATATCTGACACGATAATCAAATATCATATTCACTCTGTGTAACTTAGTTTATTGAGTTCAAGAATGATATCTCAGTTTCTTGTATTTGAACCAGTGTTTTTATTAATGTAATCTGGGTTATTAACCCTTTATCTATGTGGCACATGTCAGATGAAGTTGTTTTACAACCAGGAACGTGATGTGTTTTGCCCCCGACAGTTGGAGAGCTGCTGGCCCAGTATGGGTGGTGTCTGCTGGTTGTGACTGTGCTGGTCTACCTGCTCATCCAGCACCTGAACAAGAAGAAATCCAGCCGGAGCAGCTCGAGCCCGCCAACACAGCAAGGTCAGCCCCAGCACTTATCTGTTTACACACCTGGCACAAAGATACCAAGATCAGCAGCCTGTTGCACCAGCTGTGTGTAAATTCAAAAGCTTAAGCTAAAAGCTACTACTATAAGCCTAGTAATAATCTAAATTACTACTAAAATAAAAGTGGTTGCACCGCAGGAATAAATTACAACATAACTCTGAGTAACACCTAAATAGTTCCACATGCCACAGGGTTGGTGTAAATCATAAAATGTCACAGAATTATTCTCATTAACGGTAAAAGGGTTTTTGCGCCACAGAATCATTTATCATTCAGCGTATGTCATTTTGTAACAGTCATCCAGTAGAGACGTGTACTGATAGATTCAATATTGAGCTAGCTTTGCTATGATGTGATGCCAAGTTGCTCATGCTAGCTACAGTAACCACGACGATGGAACTCTTTAATCTTAAATCATTGATTTGGCTGCCTGCCTTAGTTACGACTTTACGTCTAAACTAGTGAGGTTCGGAGCCAACTAATCGTGTTGTGACCAATTTTAGTAGCCGATTTAGTTAGTTAGCCTCCAGTGTTGCCTTTAAGCCCTGACTTATGAGAGAACTTACCCACAGCTGGTGCAGCTCAGTGCAGTGCATGGAATCACATATTGCCAATAAAGCTAACTGAATTGAATTGACCCAGGGTAAGCACAATGTGGGGCGAACACTATTGGTAGTAATTATCCAGAGTAACTGGAACACTGTTTCTGGAATGGGAAGACCCGCCAACCTGCATGCATTTTCACATCAAAGCATGCTGGTGTGAATAACTTAATAACAAGGCATGCAAACTAGGGGTGGGAGAAATAATCCATTCTTCGATGCATCGCGATGCGGATGTGGAAGATTGTGAATCCATAAACAAATGTCTAAAAATCGATTATTTAAATGTTAATTGATAACGTAATGTCGATGGAACGCAAAAGGCAGAACTTGCGGAAGTGCAGTGCCCGGACCGTCTGAATGTGCACACAACAAAGCCCCCAGCAGTGTTCCCATGTATTCGGCACACCACTGCTGCAGAATGAATGACCACCCAACTTAAATGTCACACAATCATTAATATCAAGGCGCAAGTAATGATTTTAACTCGCACACTGTGAGCATAGTGACACTCGATGCTCGGCAGCTCTCTGTGTATCCTGTGTGTGAGGCCGAGCGAGTGAGAGAGAGAGAGAGAGAGCGGCAGAACATGACTGAAAGTTAGCGGAGAAATATATTAGCAGTAAGTTTCTGTCTGGCAGTAAATGTGCAGTGTAGGTCACTGTGTGTCCATTTATAAAAGTCTGTAGTAGGGCTGTAACGTCCCAGTCGATTAGTCGATTAATTGGTCTGTACGTTCTGGTTCGACCAAAATTCTGATTGGTCGATTTTTTGCCGCATTCATTTCATCAGTTTTCATTTCATCAGTTTTGCCGCGCTTCATCAGGTGGAAACCACTAATTGCTAATGGGGGTGTTTTCAGAGCACCCCTGTTTCACAGGTAATAGTCTGTCTTAAGAACACCCCCCCTTGTTTTTACTTTTTTGGATTAGCCTAACCCACCGGAGGAGAAGAGAGACAGATAAGTAGGCTATAGAAGGTTTGATGCTAAATAGGCCTATTATTTATCTGTAATTAACTGTGAGAGTGTTTAATAGTCCGTCTTCTAACATGTCAACAACAAAGACATCGACAGTGTGGAAGCACTTTGTTAAAATTGACAACGGGAAAAAGGTTCAATGCAAAATTTGCAACCAACAGTTTGCCTTCCACAGCTCGATGACAAACATGACGTACCATCTAAAAGCGGTAAGCTAACTTGTCTGCGTTAGGTTGCCCTGTCTGTATTTTGAGTAGGCTATCTGAACATATCAAAATTCGAATTATTTCAATGTTTTAGTGTAATAATCATTTTATAAATGCAGGCGCATCCATCCATAATGACGGCATCCCCCAGACACACCCAGAGCACGCTGGATTTTAAGCCTCCTTTATCATCCAAACGGAAAAATAATATAACGGAAGGAATTGTTAACTTTATTGTTCAGGATATGAGGCCCATTGCTGTTGTGGAGGGCCAAGGTTTTAAGAACTTGTTAAAAGTTTTGGAACCTGGATATACCGTGTCAGCACGCCACACAATCACGCATGCACTAACCGCAAAATATGAGGGACTCAAAGAGAAAGTATCAGAGTTAATACAACACAGCGAGGGACTGAGCTTGACCACAGATATGTGGACATCTCTTAGAATGGAGTCCTATATGACAGTGACTGCCCATTTCATTGATGGAGACTGGAAAGCACAGAGTCTAAACATTGCTGCGCGACTATCTGAAGTTGCTGATACATTTGGAATTCAAGAAGCAAAGAGAGTTTCTGTTGTATGTGACCACGCGGCTAATATGGCACTCTGTGTGGAAACACTAAAGGAATCACATAATTAAACATTAAAGTAGATGTGCCTTTTGTGTTTATTAAGAGCAAAAACTTTAAGTTAATCTATTCGTGTCTGCCGCCGCTCAGCTGAGCGCTCAGCTGCGCTCTGCTGAAATGATCATAGTGTCTAATAAACTTATTATTATAACATATGACAAAAATAATTGTCTAAATGATGTTGCATATTCCTCAACAATTCTTGTGATGATATCACTAGTTGACGAGCAACATAGTACTATTTTCGTAAATCGTAGGCTATGATATTGCGCAGGTGCACGTGACGCATTGCTGTCAGAGCCGACAGACTATTTAGTGCAAAATAATTAGATAAAAAACTATTTAATAAACTGCAAATAGCCTACTATTTTTTTTTTTTATGTTTATTTACAATTCATTTAGGCGGACAACAAGGCTACCAAGTACTGCGCACAGTGCACAGCTGACTAATTTAAAAAATAATAATATAATAATTAAGTCATTTTTAGTCGAAGATTTCAGGACTTTAGTCGACCAAGATTTTCTTTGGTTGATTACAGCCCTAGTCTGTAGTTTCTGCAGCTGCTGGCAAAGTGAAGCTTGTTAGCGCTAGCTAACATCTCCCATGTACAAGGGCCTGGTCTCCGTTCCCCACACCAGACTCCGGACTTTTGGGGACAGGGCCTTCAGCGTCACAGTCCCCACTCCATGGAACTCATCCCCACAGAGATCCCTAATGCTCCCTGTCTGGACACTTTCAAAGATCTACTAAAAACATAGCTGTTTACAAGGCACAAGACAATTTGATAATTGTTGTTGTGATTTGGCGCTATATAAATAAAATTGAATTGAATTGAAGGCATTCGATCCTGAATCACTTTATGTTGTTCTGTCACTGTACTATGTGTAAACCATCCCGTGAAAGGCGCTAAAAATATTTATTTATTTATGTAACGTTAGCTAAATTAGTAACAAAGTAATATTAATTATCAGCTGTATGTCTGTCTAACTTACCTACTAGTCAAGGGTTGAGAACATCAGTACAAGCTTAGGCTAAACTGGTGTACAGCTCTGTCCTGTACACACACTGCACATCCTCATAATTATATTTCAGTTTTCAGTAAAATAGAGAACAGCAGAAGTCATCACCTTGGAGAATTTCAAACTACAGAAGCTATGAGCTAAGAGTTTTTCATTGAGATTCTCTACTTTGTAGTAAATGCTTATTTTATTTTTCACCTGAAGATGCTGCGTTGGTGGCCAGAAATCAAGAGGCCATGGAAACGGCTCGGAGAAAGATGCAAGAGGAGCTCCATGCCAAAGCAGCCGCCTTCAGAGAAAAACAGAAACAGGTGCTCTATTGAAATAGAAATGTTTAAAGAAAGATGTTGGACTGTCTATGATGTCAAACCTGAACTGGATGTGCAATGTTTTGTGAACAGCAAGAAGAAGAGAAGAGGAGGCAGAAGATAGAGATGTGGGAATGTGTGCAACAAGGAAAGAGTTACAAAGGAACTGCAAAGCTTTCTCAAGTAAGTACAGTGTTTCCCCTACCAGTGTTTTGAAAGAGTGATATACAAATGTATAAAAACTCACACACACTCACACCCACACACACACACACAGGGAATTTGTTTCTCGCTCGTCACCTCAAAAGTTCAGTTTATTTTAAATTTAGTTGCACAACATTGTTCTAGGGCCTCACATATACACGCTGCCGACGCACAAAAAGGTTACATACGCTGGTTTTCACACACACGAGATGTATAAAAATGAACGTAACGTGAGAATGTGCGGGCTGTGGCGCAAACTTTTGTCTGGCTCTGTCTGTGAACTCCAAAGTGCCAAAACTCACCAAATGTTTCAAAATAATGTTTCCACTCCAGTTTGTGTTCATATGTCAATGAAGTAGTCAATAAGAAACCTAATTATGGCCGTTAATACACCATAGTGTTTGAACATGTTGATAAAGCCAGGATAATGTCAGGTGACAGGATGGAGGATCACCTCTCCCCGATATTAGATGTGAATTTAGCTTCTGAGTCCTTTTCAGAAATGGAATGGAATTATCATCATTTTTAATCATATCCTCTGTGCATATCACCTTTTAGTTTGCAGTTTAGTTTTTTTAATGTGTAAAATGCTGCAGTGAACAGACTGTGCTGTCAGGAGCACAGAGCGTACTGAGACACAAACAGGTCTGCCTCCTCACCTCGACTCACCCGGCACATCTTCACCACCTGCACATATGGACTGTGTAACTGAAATAAAGCCAGCGACAGCTCTCACACAGTCGCTGCTCTCCATCCTCATCGTAATGCAGCCAAACCGAAAGACCGACATTAAAAATGTGTTCACCTGTCAAACCTCCATCTTCAAATGATCTCCCAGGGTGGGAGAGACCACTGACTGAAGCATCATTTTGGCGAGGTGTGAAGCCTACTCTGTGTGATTGCTGTAAAAATATAAATACTGCGTGACACTCGTGCGGGATGCTGCATGGCTGCGCTATGGCACTGCAGAGGAAAACGCAGGTAGATGAAGATTTCCTGGCCCATGATGATGACTGGCTAACACTTGGATTTAGAGTCCCTAGAGTTGTGGTCTTGGATCTGCGTGCGGAACTGGGTCCAGCATTTGACAGACCAACCAGGCGGAACCGTGCCATATAAATAGGATATAACCACTGTTTGTTGCAGTCAGCTGTTAACAGCGGGAGCCAGGTGTGTGTCTGATGGGATCAACAATATATAGTGTTTACCTTTCTACCTAAAGCCTTTGTTTACAATAATATCATTCTGTTAAACTCTCTGAATCTTCTTTCATTTGTGAACAAGCTGCATCAAACAATCTGTGCTTTCTAACTTCCACATCGCAAGCACCTCAGAAAAAACTCTTTCCCTCGTCTAATTGGACACGTCAGACCTTGTTTTCTTTATTTCAGCCAGTATGAGTCTCTGAGCTGCTGCACTGACTGCCATTATAACAGTCATCAAATGAAATATTGCTCTTCTCCTCCACTTCAGTGATCAGGACCTCGATCTCACACTCAGTGAAGTTTCTCTTTTCACGTGTTTCACAGCAGCTGGTGTTATTTGGACATTAGGAGGTGATGCTGGCGTACTTATGGTCATTTGAATAGTAATTTATGGGAAGAGCTCATGCATGTACGCTCAAGACACATACACACCGTCATGTGGAAGTCCGCATGCTAGCAATAGCTCACTTAACTCTCAGAAGTGAAAACACATTGTTGATTTCGAGGCTGTGTGGGCAGAGTCAGGAAAAAATTAAAAATATACGTTTGGTCAGGCATCGTAAACAAGACAACACGAGCGTAGCCTCGTCCGACCCACTTAGATCCTGTGTACAGCAGCATAGAGGCATGAAGGCCGTCAATTAATAACTTGTTTGATAGGGCATAATTCACAACTCACAATACATATGCTGCAACAATGCATTCATTTTGAATTGTCCCTATAAATAGTATTATAATGGCCTGTTTTAACATCCTACTGTTGCAGTAGCCTACATTTTTGTGAACTGTCCCCATAAATAATTGCACATGAATTTGCATATATGGTATTTTCATGATACATCAAATACATTTATATATATTCAATTTGTAATATTTTCTTATTGTTGAAATTTTATTCACCACCACATGATTACACACTCTTTCTGATGAAAAAGGTAAAACACAGAATTCAGAATTCATTTTTTTTTATGGAAAAAAACAGAGTCTGGCCAAAATTTTTTACAGATTTCATAGGGCCCAATTTCATAGGTTTCATAGGGCCCTATTCATGGTGTCATCACCAAGTATCTGAATGTACCATAACTATAGCAAGCTCCATCAGGTGGCGCTAACTTTACAAAAATGTCAAAGAGGAATGGAAAAGGTGATGAACATATCTCGATGGCGACACCACGTATCCATAACAAATCCGCTCCGCAACACTAGTAGTTTCAGGGAGTCTACCCACAAAAAAAAATCCTAGGGGAAACACTGGAGTAACATTTCAAACAGTACAGGAATCATCTCATTCTGAAAAAGCTAGTGTTCACACTACTGAGTACTGACTACGTGATTTGATTAAAGCTCGTACATCGGCATGGTCACAGTTTGAGTTCCTCACTGTACTGTCTGATTAATGTGTGTCACTGCAGACCACTGAAGAGGCCAGCACATCAACAACAGTGCTGAAACCAAAGACTGAGAGGAAGCCGCTGCGCAGTGCAGGTATGTACTTTACAGAACAGCGCACACTGATGCTTTAAATATTCAGCACAGTAGGAGGTTAATGGCGGTTCATTTTCTGCTGCTAGTTCAGCATAACTAGCGAGAACACTGTACAATCACAATGCCAGCTCAACATTGTGAAGTCTGTCTGCGATCGGCAGTGGACGATGGCGTCGTCTGTCGGCCAACAATGCATTTTAGGTGCATTTACACCAGTACTTTCATGTGGTCAAGCACTATCCCATTGCAATCACCCAAACATATACAGGGCAGGGTTCCTTCACAGTACGGAAAAGTAAGCAATTTGACTTGAGTCATTTCCAGGTGTAGGACACTGGCAAAAAAGGAAAAGAGCATCTGGATAAATATTGGTTTCCACATTCTGTTGTAAATGATAGAAATTTCTAATTTCTAAAAATAAATTGATCATCTACAGTTTTTATTGGCATTTGGAGCAGCAGCAGCACAACCAAAATATTTACCACAGTGTGAGAAAGTGCGGGCCAGAGCACAGTGCCACTCCCAGAAAGTTTCTTAGGGGTGGCCAGATGGGGCCACTGAAAATCTGGGGGTGACGCACCAAAACCATAACTGAATTTCAGCAATTCTATTATGCTGTTGTAATATATAAACTAGTTAATATTCACCAAGTCAATATGAGAGTTAAGGAATGGCACCCAAATATGCTTTGGTTTCTTATTTTACAGTTAATGATACTAATGATCTAGTCTCTACGCTGTGTTTCAGTGCTGCGCCAGCACTGAAAGGTCTGGTCATCCTGGTATTGGGGAGAAAATGCTCTGGCTTCTTAGTATTTATTTTTGTCTTGGTGGGTTAAGCCCAGGATGCAGCAACTCTTGATAAATAGTGCCGGTGGGAAACATGTTTTGGTGGAGCATTTACACGTGGGGAAGGTAACCGCTGCTAGCTCATTTACTTTCTGTCGACCGGATAAGGGTTAGGGTAACTTAATTTTTTCAGCATGTAGGTTGCTATCTTAGAGGTTGTTTTTGTTGTTTCCCATTGTGACCGTAACACACAGATATCGGAAGGGGAGGAGAATGCCAGTGGCAGGCTTATATTAACAGACTACTAATTATCCAATGTGCAAGACTAATAACAGCATTTTGAGCTCTAAAACAATCCTATAAGATAGATAGATAGATAGATAGATAGAACTGTGCAAGAGTTTCAGGCCGGTGTGAAAAAATGCTGTAAAGTAAAAATGTTTTCGAAAAGGTTAGGGTTAGGTTATGTTAACAGATTATAACGAACAGTTAACAAAATACAAAGTAAGTGAACAGAAGACAAATCTAAATAACAATATTTGGTGAGACCTTCAAAACTGCATCCGTTCTTCTAGGTACACTTGCACAAAGTCAGGGATTTTGCAGGTGTATCATCAGGTGTTTGATTAAATAGTTACACCAAGCAGGTGCTGATGATTTTGTCAAAAGCAAGGCAAGAAGTATGGAATGTGACTGAGCAATGCCCACTCCTACATAGTGCTACACCTACATCTACCTACGTCATAGCCAGACAGTAGTTTGAAAAGAGAATGTGGTAGTATGACAAACTAAATATTTATATTGTCTGAACATGTATGAGTTATGCGCTAAAGTAGTCATCTTTTCTGCTTTTGGCGTTTCCGTTGAAACTTTGTGGACCCCAGGAAGGATGCTTCAGCTTATAAAATAACAAAGCTGCACAGACACTATGAAAATTAAACTACAGTTATTTGTAAAAGAGACAAATATTGGGTAACAGTAATATAATGTTATTTATTCACGGCCACAGTGGTTTGGTGTTTGTGAGCTACAGTACAGTAATATTCTGGCAATAATTTGGCAAGATAATAACATGCATAGTGAGAATGTAACATCCATGCTAACTGTTGGATTTTAAAACCTTTTATTTACATAAAAGATATCTAGCTATTTGTCCTCAAATGTCAAATATGATCTGAAAAATCTTCAGAGAAGTCTGGAAAAGTATGGAACTATAGGCTAAAGCTGTGTGCATTCTGTTCTGTGTTTCAGACTACAATCCTCTGACTGGACAGGGAGGGGGCGGCTCTTGCGCCTGGAGACCTGGCAGGAGAGGGCCATCATCTGGTGGATGAGGTTAAAGAAGGCTGGAGACATTGGTCTGTATGACCTTTGACCTCTGGCGTCCTGATGTACACACTGACTGGCTGAACCAAGCTGACAATGTCACCAAGCCCACTCTTTGTTTAGACTATTTTCAACCTGCTCTATACTTGTGATGAGGGTTAATCGCTTAGCATCATTCATAGCATTTACCTGCTGTCCTGTTTCAGTTTGCTTGATTCAATCTACTGTTGCTGACTCTGCGCTGCTGAATATCATACTGTAGTGTAATTATCAGAAATTACAAAAAGGGGTAAATGCATTTGGAACTGAAAGCTTGTAATGACGCCATTCATTTAAATGGTATGAAACCAGAATGTTTGGCTGATGAATTTCAGTCAGTGTGTCTTTGTTTTCTATTTTAGTTTAGTTTATGAATCAATCACCATAGTTTTATAGTTGATATTACTACAGCACCTGCTAATTTTGTAAGGAGGGTATATCTGTACTGTCACAAATTTTATGAAATAAAGACACGGCCTCCCGAAATTTGTATTTGTTTAGATGGGAATCCACAACGACCTGCTGGTGGTGTGAAAAGTGCAACATGCTGGTTTCATACTTCAACTTTATTTCTCCAGTTCTCATTAAGGCAAAGATCTGTGACAAAATACATGAATACAACATCAGAAATATAGCCGCAAGCGGCAATGATGGAGATCCAAGCAGGTTGTAAAAACTGCAACATTTTACATTTCCAGAGAAGACCAGATGACTTAACAGATTAAAGTGATGAAAGAATTTAGACTCTAAACGAAGCCTTCTGTTGCTTTTTTTACAGCATCACTTTGAGGTCAAATACTTTCATTATATGTGCCTGACAAGTGGGTGAAATGTTCAACCGACCTGCCAAATTTTGTGTTTCCAAGTTTTAAGGTTTATGCTGCGCAAATACTTTTTAGCAGAGGAAAATAAAGTGTCATTTTTTATTTTATATGAATATTTATTCATAATTTATGTAAAATAATGCACTCAAATCAAATATGAAAGGGTGTGTCTCATTTGCCTAGTGTAGTACTACAATTCGACATTGGTTTGAAGTCCCTGTGTCACATGACTTGGAAGCTATTGAAATAAATAATGATTTTCCCATAACACTGTTCTCACAATTGTAATTTATTGATGGTCCCTAAGCTAACCCCTGTTGGTTAAAAGCGAGCCATCAGAGGTGAGCTAACCGCACTTATACAACCGTCACTGGGTGAACTGAATAAAAAGCCGTCACAAGTGTTTCTCCCACTGTTTTCTCCAACATCATCTGATTCTCTTTGGTCTGACGGGCTTCAGCACATATACCTTTATTGTTGTTTTGTATCCGTACGTGGAGTTTATGTTGGAGTCTGTGTTTTGCTGGGAGCCGGTCGTTTTATGGTGTCAGTGGACTGGATAAAGGTAATTCAGCTCTAGGACATAGGGTGATTAGATTTTATGAAGACTGGAACAACACAAATTTACATTTGTTGTAATAAGCCACACCCACTTTAAGCAGTCATTACCAAATGTCATGCCTCAGCTGATTAGTGACCCTAGATCATTTTAACCGAATTTTGTATAAATCCATGCAACAAATTACAAGGTAACTTTTCACATGTGTGACAACCTCTTGTGGAATAGGTTTGAATAAAGTGACAAAAAGTTGCAGAGTTTGACAATTTTAGAGCAGAAAACCACTGGAGCAAAGATGCACAAGAATTCAGAGATTAAAAGGATGAGAACTTTGACAAGTCAATCACAAAACATCCTAGGGCCCCATTTCAGAAAGCCTTGGCACAAACTAAACTCCCTTGGCTGTTTGAGTCCTTGAAATAAGTTGGAGCTGGCTGGCGGCTGATGGCTGAAGCCAGCTACTGCACGGATTCCAATACTTTTTGTACACACAAGTCACTTTAACATCAATATATGTGAAAATAGATTTAAAAATACCAAAAGACTAATTATAAACCCTGACCCCTTTAATAATATCGATGCCATTTAATGTCATCACAATGAGTGTTATGGTGCCCTTAGTGGACATGCTTTAAGCCCGCTGCATCTACATGTGCTGCTGTTGCCATAGAAAATTGTTGGCTATCAGTAATCTGTAAATAAATTCAAAAGAATGTCAAGTATTTTAGACATAGGAAGCTTTTCAAAAGCAAAAATCATATCTGTGAAGTTAAAAATCTGTAGGCAAAACAATAATTCAGGTCGTGATGTGTAAAATTTTGCGTTCAGACCACTCAAAGTGGTCACAAATGTGTTTAATTACATTATGTACACTTTGAGTCAAATTTCTCCATATTCACAGACCATATAGGTGGACTTTAAAGAAACTGTTCCCACACACAGCAATATAAGAATTCAGTTTAATGTGAGTGATTTTTAACAAAATAAAACTGCACAGGTACATTATGTCCAACACAAGAGATCTACAACTTTGGAAAAACACAAAACTGCTTTCAGGGGCCATTTACATGTGGCTCTACATCCATGTCTTCATCATCCTCTCCATCTCCCTCATTCACCTCCTCTCTGGTGCCAACACCCATGTGTGCCTCCACCAGTGCAGTATCGCCCGCCTCTTCCTCGTCGTCGTCCTCCTCCTCCACCATCCCAGCTTGACCTGATATTACAAATGAATATATTCCGCTGTCAAAATACAGTGAGCTTATATGATTCATGTAACAGGCTGTCCACACAAACAACCATCACTAGAACAACATGAGCATCCACACTGATGAACACCAACGTCCTTTAAGCACGCTGTATGCTCCAGTGTGTCGACAGCTTGGCCACATACTTACACACATACTTATGACCTGTTGCTACTGTATCTTCCCAGAGAAACAAAGAAAACCACAAGCATATGGATTCATGACAAATGTTATTCATACTAGGTGGACTTTAAAGAAACTGCTCCCACACATGGCAATATAAGAAATCAGTTTAAAGGGAGTCGTTGAAATCAGTTTAATGGGGATCGTCCAAAAAGAGTTTACTTCAGAGACCTTATCGGCGCCAAACACTATTTGGCAGTAGGTCCTTGGTGGGGTAGTGATGGCGCAGTGAATAAGACCTGTACTTTTGGTGTGGGAGACCCTGAGCACAAAAAAAAATAAAATAAATAAATACTTACCCCTAACTGCAGAGACCTTTGACATATAGCAAAGGTCACTTTTCCATAAAAATATGGAAAGTTTGTTTTTGATTGGCTATCTGCGTTTCCATCGTTCAAACTGCTTGACCGTTGTCATTGTATGTGGACTCTGATTTCTATAGTTATTGTTAGGGGTGATACTGAATACTCAAAGATTCGATGATTTGATAGGCGGAGCCTGATTTGACTGCTAATCTCAAATCTTTGCAGGGCCGCTATGAAATGAGGATTATACTATTTGGGCTAAATGGGGGTGCTCATGTCTGATTTTACATAGAACTACTGGTATTCTCCCAATAAGGTAATATACAGCCTCCTATGATATAAATGTCAACATATAATACTGTAAATAAACATGTGAAAAGAAGAGAAGAGTGTGTGTGGGGTAGAAGAAGCATAGAGACAGCACCAGCAGCGCCGTGATGTGCAGAGTTGTGCGCGAACTTTGCAGGACGTTTGAATCTTTTTTCAACCATTGATGAAAAAAAGATTTTTAAACCGTACTTGGAATAGAACCACGATATAGATAATAGAACCATGCATGCATGAAGTTGTTGGTGAGTCGGCGGACATGCACAACTCTACATATGACCGGTGAATGGCAGGTGAGCAGAGAGTGAAGGGTCGACAGTAAGTCTCAGTTTAGCTGGAAATGTTCAGCATAAGTTACAGTGACTAATGAACTGCAGCTTCTCAAGATTAAAGCTACCTAGTGTGTGTGTCAGGGGGGTGACACACACAGATCCGACTATTGGCAATCCTTGACTATGTAAATCCTTAGTCCACGACAAAGCTAATTATCGTTCTTGGTGTGGCGTTCATCAGAATATAATCCACATGATTTTTGGATAATCTGCTTTATTGACCTGGGATAAGCAGGTCCCTCGCTGTGTCCATACATAGAGGTAATGTAGCAGTTTGAGCCTGTGGTCATTTGCTTATTTCACCTGTCACTTCTTGTGTTTTCAGATCCCAGGTCCCCTGTACCGCCAAATACTTTAGTATAAAACACCAAGTGTGTGGTCCTGTGTCTGTACCAAATTGTCCGGTGTGCACTCTTAAATATATCTAAAATCCCCCCTTTAATATGCAATTTGTCATTCTAGCACGAAGGCAAGGTGATGAAGTTTGACTCTGAAGTTACTGTGCTCCTCTAAATAGGTTTTAGTGAAAAGATTAAAACATAAAGAGGACATTCCTGTGGTCCTCTGACGTCTCATCTAATCAGCTTGAATATTGTAAATCATCAGGAGTCACAGAATCGGTTCTCTGCAACATAGAATATTTCTGGGCAAATTTGCAGCGCCTGATAGCTCTGTTTTCATCACAAATAAACTTACATCTGTGCCAAATGTATTGCCTTTATAGCAACATGCACACTTATTCTTAGCTGCCCCACTATGGTGTTACCCCATTTCTCTTTTCCCAGTGGTTCCTACTGAAGTAGTAAAATTTCCTTTTTTAAAGAGAAACTACTGCTACTAGCAACTACCATTCAGAAACTACTACTGGGACTGGCTGGCAGTATTGTTGCCTCAGTAAGCATGTTTGTAACACTTCTTGAAGAACACAATATGAGAATTCTAGGACAAACGCATTTCTACAAGACAGGCTACATAAGCCTCAAAAAGCCACCAGGTTGTACAGCATCAGAGGATTAGTTCTGGACAGCATTTGGTCAGCACTGACCTTGTCGGAGCTCTCGGCCTGGGATCTGACCGGCCTGCAGCATTCCCTTTAACCTCTCCACCTCGGCCAGAGATGAAGCATTAGCGATGGCATTCTGAAACACAAACACACTAATAAACCTCTCAAAGTCTGTTCTCAGGGAGCACTTTACTTTCAACAAGTCCACTGCTAGCAGTCTGAGGTCATCCAGCATTTTTACTACATCAGTGGGGCTTCATCTCCCCATTGGTTTTATGACCATTGTTTAATACATTTGGTCTAAATCTATTGGAACATTGTCACCTGACATGGATGAACTGTCTTTAAGTGATTGTAACCCCTTTCAAGAACGCTCTTTGGCTGTCTGATACCAAAGGCCGTCAACCTGGGGTCAGTGGCAGCCAAAGAAAGATCAAGCAGGACATTCCCATCCTCGAACAGAGCCCGGGACTTACCGTCTTACACGCCACCCGTTTCATACTTGGGTTAGGATACCAACGGAGTTAACTGCAACCTCTGAGGAAGACTGAAACGTCTAACACTCCGAGCGAACCTTGAGTTAAGATGTATTTATTCCATTGGCAAAGATTCCATTTGAGATCCTCAGGCAGAGGTCTGTTGTCTGTTCCAGAGTCTCGTCTGAAAACTAAAGGGGACAGAGCGTTTGCTGTCAGGGCCCCGAGAC